GGGCAAACCGTTCCATTAGCTGTTCTTTGGGCACCGTTCGGGCGCCGGGGTCTTTGCTCAGCAGCATGTGTGGGATCCGGAAGAGGAGCTTCCAGCCTCGGAGCTGGCGTGCTTCGTCGGCCTCCCCTGCGTGGATCTCCCTGAGCGCTTTGCGCAGCGCGTTGCGCAGGGGCCCTCGGAGGAATGCTGGCGCGCTCCGCAGTGTGGCCACCCGCTGCCTCAGAGCTGCCTGCAAGTCCGCCCCGTCCAGCGCCTCTCTCTCTGCCCTGCGTAGCGCTTCCCTCTGGGGAGGGCGTCGGCCTCCCGGCCCCTGTGTTGCCCCTCCGCCGTCGCCTTCCTCTTCTTCCTCCTCCCCTGCCTCTGCGGCCCTGGGGGCACTCGCCACTGCGGGGGCGGGCGCTTGTGGTGGCCCGTGCGGGTCTGGGCTCGGGCCTGGGTCTGCTCTGTCGGCCTGGCCGTCGTCGCTGCCCTCGTCCCCGCCGTCGTTGCCAGGGCCTTCTCCCCCCCGCCGCCTCCTCTGCCTGCTCTGCCACCTCTTCGTCCTCGGCCTCCTCGGGCGTTCCTTCCTCCTCTGGCGCCTCCTCCGCTCGCGCCGTCGTTCGGTTCTGACCTTGGGGGCGCCTGCGGCGGCGGCAGGGGCGGGTGCGGCTCGGCCGCCGCCCACGTCGCGGGGCTGCGCAGTTCGTCCGTGCGTACGTCCACGCCCCTCGCGAGCACCAGGCCGCCGAACGCTTCGAGGGTGAGGTCTTGCACCAGCGGCTGTATGTAGCCCGTGCTGCTGTGCGCCACGGCCTGGACGACTGGCGCGAAAGATAAATGCTCTGGGCGTTCTCCTCCATCTTCAGCGAGCACTGCTGGTACTTCCCCGTGCCGGGCGTCGGTGTACGCGAGCATCTGGACGAAGGGCCCCGTTGGCACAGGCTCAGCAAGCCGCAGCGTCTCGACCGTCGGCTGCCACCAAGCCTGCGTGAGGCGGTGCTCTCTCCACTGCGCCCCTTCGCTTGGGTCTAGAAGCCCGGCAGCCGCCAGCAGTAGGGGCGCGTGCACCGCCGACTTGGTGCGTGACTGGAGGGGCGCTTGCGGCGGGGCCCAGCCGGCGAAAAGGCTGTGTTGTGGCGGCCTCGCGGCGGCCCGCTCTGGCCCTGGCGGGGGGGCTCGTGGTGGGGCGTCGGCTGTGGCGGCCAGTGGGGTGGCAGGCACTTCTCTCGTCCATGCGTCTGGTTCGCAACGACCGCACCTCCATTCGCCTTCGGCCGTGCTGGCTTCCGCGGCCCACGTGCCCAGCCCCGGGCACCTCGCGCACATCTGTTGGCCGCTCGGAGGCGCGATCGCGTCGAGACCGCAGCGCGCCCCGCAACGCCAGCAAAGCCATGACTCCAGCCACTGCGTGATCCTCCCGCTGGTGTTTCGTGCTGCGATCTCCGGGGGCCATTCCATGCGGCGGTCTGGCACTTCGGAGAATCCGGGCGGTGGGCCGAGGCGTCGGCAGCAGAGCGCTCGGAGTGCCCTGCGCAAGTCGGGCCCGCGCGTCGTCTGTGCCACTTTGTGCTTGCGGCCTCTTTTTCTATCTTGGCGGTCAGGGCGTCTGTCGTGGATGGTTCGTGGGCGTTGCGTAACGCACCGCTGTTGCAGGCGTACTGCGGGGTGGCCCAACAGGGCGGGGTGGGTGACCCCATCTCTACTCTCCTCGCTCTCCTTCTTCATGCCCGTCTTAGCTGCGCCCAGGGCCTGCCCGCATATTTGGCGCCCACGGATCTCCAATGGGCTTTGGATGTAGCCTCCGAAGCAGGTGTCCGTGGCCAGGATTGGCTCCTCTTCGACGATTTTATGTCGCCCGTCCACCAATGTCCTGCGCCGACGCTTTGTGACCGCGTCTTTTTTCGGTTTTCGCTCCGCAGCGGCCCGGCGCAGGGCCATAGGTTCAGCGTTGGCGTTTGCAACGCGCAGCTCCAGTGGCGGACGGAGGAGGTGTATCGCGCGCTACCTGGGAGCTTCGCTGCTTGGGTTGAGCCCCACCTACAACGTTTTTGCTTAGCGCTGGCTGTGCCTGTTTCCGCTGCCGCGGGAGGGCCAGCGCCGCCAGCTGCGTCGTCGGGGAGACGATGCAGGCGTCAATCGCGACTTGCCGGCCGCGGTAGGCAGGGGGGCCGTGGACCACCACCTCGATGCGGCGCCAATCGTTGGCAGCAGTTTGGTGCGGCCACGGCCACCCGCCTCGCGGCGCACATTGGCCCACATCCGTTCGATAGGGCGCAGCGCTTGAGCAGGCGTCCGCTGCGGGGGCACGCTGCTCTGTGGTCGCCTCGCTCGTCCAGGCGCGCTCCGTCCAAGACCACCTACCAGGTTGCTCACGTCGCGAAGCCGTCGCGAGCGGCTGCGGCCCTCGCGCGCTCTGCTTCGTGGAGGCACGGGGCTGCAGCGCCAGTTCTTGCGCGGGGGGCTGCGGTGAGCTTTGCTGCTGCTTCCGCTGCTGCTGCTGCTGCAGCAGCAGCTGCTGCTGCTGCTGCTGCTGCTGCTTCACTGCTTCCACTGCTGCTGCTGCTGCCGCTGCTGCGGGGTGTCGCTGTCGCAGCATTGGAAGCGCGTCCGCCCAGAACGCCCGATGCGCGCATTCTGCAGCGCGCCCTGCTGACCCCAGTCCGTGGCCGCCGAGGCCGAGCGGCGGCGAGCTCACTCGGAAGGGTCGTTCTGCGTCCGCTTGCTCGGTGGAGAGGTCGAGGAGTCTGTGAAGCGCCTGCTGGAGTAAGCTGTCGTGGGCCTCGGCGCAGGATCGCGACAACGACGGAGGCGTCGTGCGCAGTGCGTGGTTGCACCTCGGCGCCGCGCAAGACAGCAGGAGCGCCCAGGCGCGCTGAAGGTCTGGCAGGCAGGGGGGTTCCTGGCAGAAGCGGCCTTCCTCTTTAGTCCGCTCCTCAGTTGGCCTGGCTACGAACGCGCCTGCGCCCAGCTGCGCGCCGAGCATCTCATGGCCGCGGCGCTCCTCTGGCGTGGTGGCGCCCCCCGGCCAGACGTCGGTGCCCAGCGCTAGGAGCCCCGCCGGTTCGAGGCCGCCGCGGTTCCACATGCGGCGCTCGCGCAGGTGCGCCTCGATGCCCACCCACTCCTGCGTGGCGGCGGTGACTGCGCGGAAAGCTGCCGTGGCGCGTTCTGGTCTGCAGACGACGTAGAGGTAGCCCAGGCAGGCGATCAGCGTCTCGCCTGGTTGCAGCTGCGCGCGAGCCCTCTCCAGGGCGCCGTGCTGTGCTTGGGGGGAGATCGCCGGCATGAGCGAGCCGCCTTGCTCCCCTCCACTCCCCCGCGCAACCCCGTGCGTTTCCAGCGTCGTCCGTCGAAAGGTGCGTGGGCTGCTGGCTGTGGGATGGCCTCGCCACGGGGCCCAGAGCGGAAGCCCCAGGCAGCGACGGGAGCTTCTCGATCACGCGGTCGCGGCGAACGTGGTTGGAAGCCCCGATGTCGTCGATGCTCGCGATGGTGGCTGCAGGGTTTGCTTCCGTGGCCGCTCGGAGGAAGTGCGCGCGCGCGGCGCTGTTCTTGTGCTGGCTCTCGTGGACAGCGCGCGCTGGAACGGCGCGCAGGCGCCGTCTATCTCGGGGCCGAACTGCCGGGATAGTTGAAGTATAATGACCCCCCCGAGACCTGGGAGAGGCCAGGCAGCATGCACAGCAGGGAGCAAGCAGGCAGTAGCATGTGCATTTGACAGAGCGGCGTTGACGCCGCTATGGCTCAAGCCGGTCAGTTAGAAGCCTCACAGAGTGTATATCCTGTCCGCGGCGGCCGGCCTCTCCCCTCTCAATCCATATCCGATAACCAAGATTATCATCGAGACGGCGATCCTCGCGATCCTCTCCCTCTTCGGGGCCCTCAGGGCCAGCTGGGCCCTCAGGGCCAACTCGATAGTTTCACCACCGTTGGCGGACGCGCCCACGGAGCTGGAGCCAGACCCTCAGGAGGCGTTGACTTGGGAGGGTGAGCGCCATGAAAACAACTTGGTAGCGGAGCAGGTGCGATCCCGCACCTGCTCCCGCGACGACGGACCACTGCGCTACTGCGACTGCATCATGGCGCAATCACCACAGATGGCAGGCGGTATGCCAGCCGGACCGTACATCTTGCAGTCAAACACGAAGACACCACCGAGCTGGGATCCCGCCCGTGAGTCATCTTATCCACTCAGAGACTGGATCATGGACATCCGCATGTGGGAGGCTATGGCGGACATACCGGAACGCTCTATAGCGCCGGCCGTGGTTCTGCAGCTCTCGGGATTGGCCAGAGAAATATCAAGGGAAGTGCCGCCAGATCAACTACAGGACGGAGTATATATGGATCTGAGAGACGGAGCTGGACACCGATGGTGCTCTGGGCTGGATTTACTTATCCATGGGTTGCGACGCAAGTTCATGCCACTCGAGGTAGAGACCGCGATCGCGAGCATGGCGGATCTGGTTGCTTGTCGTCGGCGACCAGGTGAACCGATTGATCAGGCGCTGGCTCGGTTCGATCTCCTGAAGTTCAAGGCCGAACACTTGGGACATTTACACATGGGGATTCCGAATCTTGCTTGGATGTTACTCAATGCTCTCGGCATTCCACCTCCACAGTGGGCTCAGTTTCTGGCACCGACAGGGGGCAACCTACCGACGAATGAACAGGAGCTTTCAGGTCTTACCTCTTTCATCAGACGTCAGAATCATCTCTATGAGCGAAGTGGACTTGCTCAAGCATCTCATCAATGCAGGCATCAGCACTTTGCCAATTCCGAAGGCTCTGGCGACGGCTTCTATTTCACGGACAACTCGCAGGGCGCTGGTACCCAAGCGGGAGTGCCGCCGCCTCCGATGCCATACCATCCCAGCGCATCGCTATCTTCAGCGCCAGGAGGACTACGCAGCGGAGTTGCTGGGATACCGAATGGATCGAAAACCGGAGGATGCTGGTGCAGCAATTGCCGCCATATTTTCTATGACAGAGAAGACCCCGAGTCCACCGAGACGAGCGAGGATGACGGCAACGAGCTGGCGGAGTCTACAGTCACCGTCAGTGCCCAGATGAACGACAGCGACCTGTATGAAGTGTATGCTCTCGCCAAGAAGCACTGGAGAAGAAGAGCTGACATACTTCCGTGGCGACGCAGATACAAAGGAAAAGGCAAGGGCAAGAAAGGGGTCAGGTTTCAGAGGAACAGCGGGTGGTCTTTTCTTTCGGAAGCAGGGGGCGGAGCTCTTTGTCCAGGGTGCACTTGGAACACTCAGGAGTACTACAAGGGCACGGGCAAAGGCGAGCAGACCAACCCGAGAGGCGCGAACGGACAGCCATTTCGATGCGATCTGTGCAATAGCGAGAAGCATCTATGGAGGAAGTGCGACGCTCCGGGAGCTGACGATTACCGACGGAAGCGGGCTACCTCAGGTGGAACGGGATATGTGACGACAGAAGGAAATCTGAGCACTGGGGGCGCCCAACCAGCTTCGAGCTTTTCTAGCGCATTGCAGCGCTGGCAGCAGCTCACGGGACAACCGGCAGCGTCTACCGCGACCAGACACTTCTTTGCCATGCCGAGCAGCGTGGAGCCGCAAGTGGACGTGTCCAAGGATGGCGAGAAGGAGTACGAGGACAGCTACTACCCGGACGTGAAGGAGGAGGGCTCGCGCCTGTGCGAGTCGCATGCGCGGCCAGACCTCCAGGTGGAGGCCCGCCGTGACTGTGCTTCGACCACTTCCTGGGACTTGCTCTCGACTCCCTCTGAGCTCGTGGACATCGGCAGCGAGACGATTCAGATGATTGAACAGGCGAAGGCTCGTATCATGGATGACCCAGACCCAGATGTAACTCTTGAAGAACCTCAGCTCACCAGTGAGCAGGTCGATCCAGGAAACAAGCCCGCTGGATTGAAGTGGTTCGTGGGTCCCGTGTTCGAGCGATATGATGAGGCACGCCAGGTATTTCTCGAGGCGACCAGGATCGACGGCAAGGAGTGCCTGCTGAGAGATCCTGGTGCGTACGACAACCTCGTTGGTGATAGATGGATTATGCGAATGGGAACTCTAGCGAAAAGGGCATTCTTGGAACCGACGCAGTACCTGATGGATCAGTCGATCGGGGTTGAAGGAGTCGGTACCAATGCGCAGATTGCCAAGGAGGAGGTGAAGATGCCAGGTGCAGCTAAGGACGAGCGAGGTAATGTGCATCAGATAAGCTACAAGGCCCCGGTGGTTCCTGATTCAGATATTCCCGCTCTCTGGGGAAAACGTAGTTTGAAGCACAACCGAGCGGTGGTTGACATGATAAACAACAAGCTGTACCTGTGTGGCCCTGGAAGAGTGCAGTTCACGCCACCGCCGGGGACGCTCACCTTCAATCTCGAGGACTCACGATCAGGACATCTGCTGTTGCTCCTCTCGCTTGCTTCGGCAACGGCAAGGATAAGAAGGTGCGCGAGAAGCAGGGGCCAGCTACCTGGCATGCGAGTACTCCCGTAGTCACCCGGCCAATGGTTCAAGACAAGGCGAAGGAGGAGGAACCAGTCGCACTGACGAACGAGCCGACAGCGACTTCGTCGTCGGAGCTTGCGGTGCATTGAGGGTGCGGACCGCCGTTACCAAGCGGCGGCGGTGCCGCAGGTGATCATATAGCTTGGCATCTGGACGTCCCCGAGCAGGACCCAGAGATCATAGTGATTGACGAGGACAATGGCAACCCGATCCGCACGAAGCTGCTGGGTCAAGCCAACATCAAGTACGCCCGCCTGAGCCTTCTGCATACCTCGACCATGGATCATGTTCTTCGACTCCTGGAGCGAGGAAAGTGCCGAGGCGTCTGGATGCGACTACAGTCGCTCATACCTGACGTTACGAGACGACAAGGGAAGACAAGAAAGCAAAAGCAAAGACTGATGGCGACCTCCATTCTCATCGCGCGCCTGATTCAGCTTCGGTGCGTGTTGGTGGTCGATTCCCAAGCGATGAATGAGGCCTGCCAGGAGGATGAGATTATCAGAGCGACTGCGACGACCCTGCCAGGATATCGAATGACAGATCATAGATGGTGTAGTTATTTGTCGTCGGGCAAGGATATGGCCCCGACTACCAGCCAGAGATTCTTTTCCAACCTGGACTTGCTTCCAGATTCGTGCAGCTGCGGCCGGAAGAGCTCAGACCATCGCAGATCGACAGGGCTGGAGCACGTTCAGCTTGAAGGGCAGTTTCTGACCGCCTTCTGGCAGAACCGACTTCGAGACAAGTTATTCGACGCGGTCCGAGGAGAAAGACGTGAGGACAACGATGCCGAACGAGCTTCACGATATCCTCAGACTGGACCGGATGATCCTGTCGATTCTCACATGATGGCCACGAAGTCTAAGACGGTCAGATTTTATCCGACCGACTCGGCCAAGGCTTACAAGGAGAAGCTGAAGTGAAGAAAGGCCGAGGGACACGAACCGAAGAAGAAGGTCAAGCAGATTCTGGATCCCGGGGTGATGGATGACTGCGGCGAGGACCTCGGAGAGCTCAACTATCTCCGGAGCGAGGAGGTTTGCTGGTGGGAGATGCCAGGCAACGAGGTGGAGGACTACTATCTGGAGCGCAGCGAGTTCAAGACGGAGGATTTCGTTGGAAGACTCCGAGATGATCGTCCACCAGATCGAGCACGACATTTTCTTGGTATATCATGGGGTCGGTCCTTCTTGAATCGTACGAAGCAGATCGAGAACAGTTTCTTCGTTGATGTGGCCGAAATCATGGGAGGAGAAGGGCGTACCACTCAGCTACTCCCTCGGCGTCACTACGTGGGAGGACGTAACTTTGATGCTCTCATGGGCGTCGATCTTCTCCAACATGATGAGGAAATGGAGCTCTGCCAATATTTGGAGGAGGAGCGACCCTTTGTGCTGGTGGTGGCTCCTCAATGCACCGGCACAGCGGGATGGTGCACCGTCAACGAGTCGATCGGTAGTGAGGTGCATCGTCTCAACGCGGAGGTTTCTTTCAGGCTAGGACAGATCTGTGCGAAGGCGGCTCACGTGCAGCTTGATGGAGGACGCCACTACGTGAATGAGCTGCCGAGGGGAAGCCGCATTTACCGAACCCCGGAATGGATGGGCCTGGCCAAGAGGAGCCTCACTTGGGTCCAGTTCAACATGTGCATGCTGGGGCTCGTCAACTCGAAGATGGAGCCCCTAAATAAGCAAGAGGAGGTCTGGGCGAGCCACGAGGTGCTGATCTACCGGCTACGCTCTAAGGAATGTGATCGACGACATCGGCATGGCGAATGCTCGGGGCGCGACAATAAGCCTTCACAGGTGTGGACGTGGCAGTTCGCTCGTATCTTGGCCGACGGCATTTCGGAGCTGATATGGCTTCGCGAACTGGACTTGAGGAAGCTGGTCTACACCACCGTGGCTGCGTATCCGAGGATAAACGGAGATGGAGTTCCCGCTCCTATTGACCATCCTCCGCCTGGACTACCAGCCCCAGTCGCATCAGCAGCAGCAGCGGCAGCAGATGTACCTCCACCAGCTCCCGCGCCCGAAGGAGTGCTGGATCCGCGCGCTCGACGAGCGGCTATTGGACCTCACCTCTGTCCAGGATGTCGGAGAAATCGAGTCAGCACTCATCCCTCACACACCTGCGTACCTGGACAGTGCCGACGCCCGTTGGTACAGCCGTTGGAATACAACTGCCCTGCATGCAAAACAGGTCGGGATCGTTACGATCCCCGCCATACTTACGACATGGACTGTCGTCTCCACATGGACGAGCCCAGGCTGATTGGGACGAGATCTTCAGGAGCGGCTCATGCACGGGGTCCGCGAGTACCGGCAGCGCGAGCTGCGGGCGCTGGTCATCGAGTACATCCCCGAGCAGGAGAAGAAGATGAGGACATGAGACCTCATCCTGAAGCTGGACCTTCAGGTGCTGCTCCCGCTGCCGCGAGAGAAGAGGATGATGACGTACGACCTCATCCTGAAGCTGGACCCTCAGGCGAGGCCCCGGTGGCCGCAGCGGAGGAAGCCATTCTTCCTGCCGGAGAGCCTGGACATCCGGCCAGAGCAAGCGGAGATGAGGTCGCACTGAGGAGACGAAGATTTCAAGACGCTGTGGCCCAGATCGACACGGGAGTGGACTGGACGCAGTGGGACATGGGGCGTGCCATTCAGGGGCTAAGATCAGCGGTCCCGGGGATGATACAACGCACGCTGCGTCGCATGCATATACGACTGTGGCGCGCTCCAGCCCAACGACTACGAGACTTACTTTCGGCCGCGGGTCTACCACGAGAAGTGATCAACATGGTGCAGGACGTCGTGGACACCTGCACAGTATGCCGAGAATGGCAGCGTCGAGGCGAAAAGTCGGTGACGAGTCTGACGTTTACCACGGCGTTCAATGAAGGGATTCAGTTCGATCCACTCTTCTTGGATGACGGCGTCGTGGTGCACCTGATTGACATGTGTACCAGGTGGGCTCAAGGGCTCTTTGTGAAGTTAAAGGAACTGGGTGATGTTCTTCCTGCCATTACTCACATCTGGTTTCGATTTCACGGCCCTCCGAAGTTCAGCACCTCAGATCAGGAAGGAGCTCTGTTCTCGGACGAAGGAGCTATCTGGGCAGATCGATGGAAGGTGGATTCGAGGCCGAAGCCCAAGGGAGCCCATGCTCATGTTATCGAAAAGAGAAATGACCTCCTCAGGACACAGTATCACCGAGTTCGAAGTCAGGCCAATGAGGAAGGTATTAGAGTTTCGAAGGAAGAGTTGCTGGACGAACCTTTGTTGGCTATGAACACCCTCTTGAGCGTTCACGGGACCACGCCATATGCTGCTCTATATGGTCGAGTTCCGAACATTCTACTCGAGCTCGGGGGTGGAGGATCCGAGTTTGACGACGAGTCTGGAGGCGCCGTGTCTCGTCATGTTCATCGAGTCAGGGAACTGGCTCTCGCCAACATCGTGCAGGGTAATGCTCAGGAAAGACTGAAGATAGCTGCTCGGATGCGAACGGGGCCAGCGGCTCAGCTCGGAGATCTTCGTGCAGGAGATTCGGTTGACATCTGCAGGGGCCCGCCGAACAAGGACGTCACAGGCTGGCGAGGGCCCTGTAAGGTAGTTTCCATGGATTGAGCGGACGAGGGCATCATTGATGTCAGATGGCAGGGTCGTACGTTACCATGTCGCCCAGCGGATGTTCGAAGGGCGGTGACATGGATGACTCTCATGGCGGCTCCTGGCCGCGGTGGCACCAAGCCCTACCAGATATTCGTCTACTACGTGGAGAACATGGCGGCGGGCACTACGTTACTCTTGGGATATGAGATCGGTGAAGATGGACGCTGGGGGATGACGAAGACCAGCAGTCGGCTGCCTACCTTGACGACGGCAGCTTTTCACGTGGCTGCCTGTGATTTGCAGCTGTATGGAGTTGTGGCCACGAGACTGGGATATGGTTCGCGAGAGATTCCAGCTGCTCGAGGCCGTCACACTTGTATGATCGTCTGGTGGCGTCCGGGTGAGTCGATTGGTTATCGCCACGCAAGTTTCGATCCTCGAGCGAAGGCGAGTACCCAACACCTGATGGGGCCAGACTTTGGACGTGTATGTTGGGTGCAGTTTTTGGTGGTTGAGATCTCAGCCGAGGTCTTGCGGCAGATTGACGTTCACATGCCACACGTGGGAGGTCCTCAACAGATGCCCGACTTCCCCGCACCACGAGGTCAAGTGCGGCATCGTGATCTTCATGATGTGGGAGAACGACCGGATCGATGGCATCGATGGCCCACTCCAGAGGCCACCATCGATGAGGAGTCGGATGCGTCCGAACCTCAGGCTCAGGGTGTGGCCCACCCTCGAGATGCTGAGGCGGATCCTGAACTGCTAAGGCCGACGTGGCGACCTTTTCAGCAGCCCTATCGGATCGAGCCCGACGTCAATTCAGAGGTGCAGGATCTGTGGCTGGAGCCCTGGGATCCAGGGTGGATGCAACACGCGAGGACAGAGTTCAGCTTCTTTCACGCTAGTCTTGATAGTCAGTCACCACCGGACGCTGAGTACTGGTTGGATTCTCGAGTGTTGGAAGCCGTCGAGGTGGCTACCTATTTGGAGAACCCAAAGAAGGATATGCAAGTTCTGGAGGTGGAGTTCGGTTCGGAGATCTCCCGGCTCGTAATCATGACCGCTGGCGATCACAAGTTGCCCAAGTCCGAGATATTTCCCCTATTTGCGGAAGATGGGGGCCATCGTGTGATTTTGTCCGTCAGCTCGACGGGGAAGACCAAGATGGTTATCAAAAGAGAGGCCGACGAGCTCACCAAGGACGACTTGATGAAGTACCGGGTTGAAGTCGAAGAGGCGATGTTGAAGGAGCTGGGCAACTGGATAGAGTTAGGTGCACTCAAGCAACGCAGCAAACGAGAGTGTACTAGCCTGATGGACTCAAGATGGGTGATCCGTTGGAAGAAGCAACCGGACGGTAAGTTGGCGGTCAAGGCGCGGTTTTGCATCAAGGGCTTTAAGGACCTACAGCAAGATCGCCTGGACACCTTCAGCGCGACCGCCTCGAGGCAGAGTCAGAGGATGGTGAATTTCATCGCGGCGAGTCGTCCCAAGTGGGTGTTGTGGTCTTGTGATGTGGGCAGCGCTTTTCTGAAGGGACTTACGTTTCAAGATGTGGCCGATATGGCCGGGGAGCCCCTCAGAACCGCTCAGCTGGACCTGCCCAAGGATACGGTGAAGATATCAAGGCA